TTTTATTTAATTTATACAATTATTTTATTAAATTGATCATTTATATTTTTCTAGTATGTTCTAAACCGATCCTTGAATCAGTCTTATAAATCGGTCAGGTTCGAGAAAAAAACAAATCTTGGACCGGATCGGACTGGTAGGACCGAATGGTACAAGACCGGTCCTAGGACTGACTTATGGACCGGTCCGGTCCAAAAAAAGATGAAAGACCGGTCTTTTTGGACCGGACCGGACCGGACCGATCCAACCCTATTTATTTCATCAAATAATACGAAAATTCAAGTTTTCTAAATTTATTTCACATTATGTTAGCGAACCTCTGGTTATTTTAAAATGTCACCATTTAAATCTTTTATTTTGGCTTGTTCTAAAATATTTGAAGTTGACATAATTTCTTACATTGTCAATTAGTATTTAGAACTTTATGGATAGAGAAATATTTAGTGTTTTCGATATAACGACTTACCAAACATGTGCATCAGCAGTTCTTAGTAATCTTTGCCTTCTAATAGATCGAAAAACCTTTGAAAAATTCGTGTTTGAAGAGCTATTTGTGATGTAGTCAAGTCGTGTCAAGACCTTAATTTCCGTTTCTTCGTTTTCTCCCTCTTCAGTCTCTTCATTGTTTCCTACTTTCTTTCCCTTCATCAGCAATACTTATTCTTTTTCTAATTCTTGGCCGATATTAAAAAAATTTGGCAATCCGCAGTTGATCAAAGTATATATAACAGATTGAAAGCATTATCACTTTACACCAATTCAAAGAGTTCTTATAGTGAAAAAATTTTAACATCTACTATACTTTTTTAAGTAATAGAAAGGATTTATTAAAGCTCCTAATCTTTAGACTAGATTTTCAAAGACCATGTACCTTGACATGAATTTAATTAAAAGCAAATCAAATAAAGTATTTAGAATTCAATAATTCAATGTAAATCTTTTTGTTTATGATTCATTCATATGATTCATTTCGAATAAAAATAAAAATACCAATTTTAAATCTTCCAAAGACATTGCAAAAATCTCTTCAACTTACCGTGTCTTTATTTTTCATTATACGATTCAAGTATAATTCGTTTAATTCATTTGAGCGCGAGTATTGGTCTGGCTGATGATTGAAAATAAAGTTAATCGATTCAGTCACTGGTAATTCAAGAATTTTACAATAGTTAAAAAAATGTTATAAATACATAGTGATGTTAAGTTTCTCAAACGGTGTTTATGCTCCAAAATAGTAGAAAAAGGTCTCGAACTATTTGAGATTCGGTTTAAACTAACTAGTTAAACCTGATTTAAATCCTGGTTTAGAATATTATTTTTCTAATTTGGAAATACAACTATGTGTCTAGTCACTCCTGTTTTCTGACTTTATTCTTGCTGACATATATTACAAGTAAAACAAGCTTTGTCCATATTCCAATAGAGATATTGCCAAACTGGATGGTATAGCTGACTTTTTTTACCTGTCGTTCATTTTTAACCATAGATGTGTTGGCTTGCATTATCTGTCATTATATAATTGATAATATTGCAATTATGTTATGCGAAGATTAAGAAAAGTACGCGATAAAAAGTTAGTTACGAAACCAATTAAATGAAGTCACAGAGCGAGATTATTTAAGCCTGGTCATTCAACTGATTTATTATTGATTGATCGTTATTTTTTTTTTTTAGAAACGGAAATGTAGAATTTTAAAATATTCTGACAGCTTGACTTTATTAAAAAGGAAAAAATCATTGCGATTTATTTGTAATGAGCTAGTTGATTGGAAAATGTAATTTTTATCCAATTAAACCAAATCTTTTTTTTAAAATAATAAATTTTACAACATACTTATAGAAAATTATTTTTTTACGGAATAATTCAATTTTAATGCATTCAATGGAATTTTAAAGGAAACAATCTCATATTTATCAAATAAATAATTTTTTAATATAAATTATTATTTGCAATCCAACAGTTATTTATAATTTTATCTTTTGATGGAATTATATACGCGCATATTGTTGTTATGCAAAAATTACTTTTTAGTTTAAGATGTGAAGGCTAATTATTTAATATGTGCGATGCGTATTTGGTGTTTAATAGTCTGGTTCATAAAGCTTTTGTTCTATTGATTTAAAAACTTAAAATGAAGTTAATTTTAAGGAAACACGTTGAAAAAAAAAACCTTAAAATATAAACTTTTTGATAAATATAAATCTTATGAGTTCGTAGCTTTCTTTATTAAGATAAATATTACTCTATATTTATACCATCGATAAGTCAATTTTATTTTTTTAAAAAAAAAAATTGGTGAAGCATCGCAAGATATTTTTAAACACCCGTTGTATTTATTTCTTATAAGGTAACTAGATTATACTAAATGTTAATAAGGACTCATATCACCTCAGATATTACCAAATTCTATGGCTGTCTTTTCAACATCTAGATGAATTTTGAAGATGCTGCATATCTGGTTCTATAGGAATTATAATTATACTTAACGACAAAATATTCGTTATAATAAAGTTACTATTTACAAGAAAAGAAAAAAAAAGTACTTTATAATATTCCAAGTATGATTAGTCCGGTCCGATCAAAAAGACCAATCTTTCATTTCTTTGGACAGGACCGGTCCATAAGTCGGTCCAAGGACCGGTTATAAGACCGGTCTTGTACTAATTGGTCCTACCAGTCCGGTCCGGTCCAAGATTTGTTTCCTTCTCGAACCAGACTGGTCCAAGGATTGGTTAAGAACATATTAAAAGATTTTATTCACCTGATATATACCGGGGGGGACAAAAATATTGCACGGCTTAAAAATAAAAATTTAAATAAATTTTTTATAAGTTACTAGCCATGTG